TTCACTTTATCGAAGGTCTCCTTCTCTTTGATCCAATCCAAGCGCTCTTTGAAAAGGCTTTCTTCGGTTTCTTTGAGACTATCGGCCAAAACTGTTCGCTCACTCGTCAGGAATTCAATGCTTTCTTTTGCTTCTTTAGTCTCATTCTCGAGTTCTAGGATTTTATTCTCCAAAGTCTGTACTTTGTGTTCGAGTTCTGTATGTTTTATGTCTTCTAAGTCGAGACTCGCGTCTAAACAATAAAAAGAGTAAAATTAAGAAATAAAACATAGTTTAAATGTCTTCCACAGCTATAATGCATTTAAAAACATACTTTATATTGCATTTAAATTCCATCAAAACATTAATTCCTATGTTTTCAACATTTTTATATTAAAGTAGAGATTACTTAAGATTTTATAGCATTTTTTAAAAGTCATTATTGAATAGAAATCTGAAATTCGTGAGGACTGGAAACGAGAGGTCAAACAAATGTTAACTTCAATTGTTGGACCAAAACATTGAATTCGTTTTAAATATGAAAATATAAAAAATAAATTCAAGTAAATTTGGCATTTGAGCTAAAATTGAAATTTTCAGTTATATGTTGTGTATTAGTATAGCGTTTGGGATCCTTATCTGGAATTCATATATCGCTTAAAGCGTTTGATTTATTATAATTTAATTCATGAAAAATATACTTCATTTTCTTTTTGATAGGACTTTTGGTTTTTGTTTTATATTTTATATTAAGTTTGAATTACGTTTCGATCAAAACATTTTCACATTAATATTCTGTGATAGAGTCGAGTCGTGCGATTGAAAGCTATAATTTTGAAACATATGGTAATCATTAGGTTATACACCAAAAACCAAAAATGATTATTTTTAGTGATTGATTAAAACAAGAAAAATCATCAAAATATATAATAATAATATTTGTAGTCCTCGATGACTGAGGATTGAAATTATATTTTTTCTTGTAATAAATATAAAAATAATATTAACATATTTTACTCGTTATAAATGTGTGTTTATAATAGGGTTTTAATGTATTTTCATGTAAAAACAATAAACAAATAAATTAGTTTAAAAACAAACAGGATTTTTAATTTACTATTTGAGAATCATTTGTAAACATGTATTATCTTTAGGTCATAACACAAAACGAGTCGCTAATCATTACAAATCAAAATCAATATAAAAATCTTAAATATAGTAATAATTTTCTATTAGCCGTCAAATCATTTTATCTAAACTATAATCTCTAAAATGCATTCATTTTAATAAAACGTTATAATCTTTAACTCTTATTTAGCAAAATCTATAAAACTTCATCAGATTTTAATCAACAAAATATTTAGAATAAAATGCTATAAGTTTTGTAACATTTATAACAAAATTCCATTAAAGTATACCATAAAAAGTAAAACATATTAATTTTAAACACGGAATATCTAAAAGATTAAAACGTTATAATTTGAAACAAATGAGAACTAAAATTCATATCTTCTAAATTCTATTCAAATATTAATACAAATATAAAAACCATTTGTTTTGTTCAGATTTTATGATAAATGAGTACATTTTTAAAGAAAATTTCAAAAATAACTTTTTTAATATAAAAAATTATATAAATAATTACTAACAAAACGAATATTAATAAACAAAATATACTATTTTGATGTAAAATGTGTTTGTTTTTTGTTGAATACATTTCAAAAATATCATTAATAATTAAATCCCAAACAAAAGGTTTATTTGGGTTCAGAATTATATGAATTCTTCATTATTTAGGTCTTTATAACAAATTTAATAATAATTAGAAATTATGTTAAAATATGAATAAATTTTCTTTTAATACATAATTAAATTTACAGATAATTGCTAAATGAGATACAAAAGGTTTGACACACTCTATGCCCTCAACATAACCTCCCCTTTAATTTTTCCTCTGATTTACACACTTTTCTAATAAATTCAATCAAAAACTCAAATTAATGTCAAAATAAAGGCATTTCATTACAAGTTTATAAAGTGATAAAAAATAATTATCACAACAGAATATTAATAGCAAACAATAACTAGTTTTGATGTGATAATCACCGCTTAACCAACAAATAAAATAACAAGTTTTAGATTAGCTATTATTGGATGCATTGGAAGATAACAACAGATCACTCATAAAATGTGGAGAAAAATTTCTGATAAAATGTATTTTATATTGAAATATGGAATAAATTGCTAAATACATATCAAATTGAATTGTTATGTCATTGAAACTGTGTTTGAGATACAAAACTGATGCCCAAAACGATTATACATATCAGGGCTTAAAGTGTTTGAGACTTATTTTGCGAATCAAATAATAGGTTCGCAAAGAATATCTCAAAATAATTGCCTTTGAATTGCTGTCAAACGTCAGCTTTCGGTAAATAAGTATTATTTGAAAGTATAATAAACGGCGAGTAATATAAATGCAATAAACATTAAATACAGTGTAGAATAAGTTATCATAAATTTATGTTAAAAAACACATAAAAATCTGTGAAATAAATTGAATCCGAAATGTTTTATCCCGATTACAATCAAAGACAAAATTGTTGCTAAATTTAAAATTTTAGATTTATATGAAATATTAATCGCGAAATTCAATCCTCATTTCAATTAAGCACAAAATTAAATGTTTAGAAATGAATGAATGATAAAGTATTAAGAATTGATTAGCGATTATAAACCAGTTGTCGTTTGGCTTGGATTCACATAAAGCCGACATTAATGCACTGTTCAATTGCTTCCCAATCGTTGATTATTTTTCTTTATTATTGTGTTTATCTCTCAATACAATTAATTAAACAATAAATCAAACGATCAATAATTAATGATTTAAAACATAGATTATCAGCAGTGATGGTAAATGTGGAAAATGTGCAAATAATGTGTCAAAATTAAAGCTATTTTTTCATTCAAATTTTGTTTTGTAAATCTATAATTGAAAAATGATTTGCAGTTTTCAAACAGAATTCATTATTTTGAAAGAAACTCATTGATTGTCAACAAAAAAGCACTTCAAGTACTCATAAGTTGTTGTAATAAATGAAAAGCAATTATAAATTCAAATAACTAATTATCAGCAGATAATTGGTTTCTCGATAATCTAAACCATACGTCAAATACATTTTCAATTGATTTTATGGTTTAGTTCTGGCGAAGAGAGAGAAGGAATTCAAATGAGAAGTGATGTGAAGGACAGACAGATAGACATTAAAATTGCAAATTCTTAACACCAAAAAACCAAATATTAAATTCTCATACAAAAAGTCACGACATTTTCACAAAACAATAATTGCATTGAATAACAGGTGTTTCGCCAATTGGTATACTTTTAATACGAGTCTCCGATAAACTTATTATAAGTTTATAATAAAATTTAAGGAAATACTGAAATTTATTTTAATTTATTCATTGATTTACTGTTTATTAAAACGGTTTGCAAACAAACAAAAACCAAACCAACAAAACAAGGATAGAAACCAATGTTTAAATGGATTTAAATATGAATGACTTAATGTTTTGCAAATAAACGATAACAAGTGATAACAAGTATAATCGGTAGTAATGATAATGTCGTGAAAAGTCATTTATTTTTAATTCATAATAAATAATGTCTTACTTTGAGAGTTGGATGAATTGGAGAGCGAGTCTGCGGCCGCTTTGCAGCCATTGGTTTGGCTTCGGTTCACACTCTTCTGGGATATAATATTCTCCCAATACTTTCGCTGCAATCGTTTCAACTCTTCCTGAAGTCTAATGATTTCGGTCTTGTAATTGTTGGCCAAAGATTTCTCTTTCTTGAGCTCGAGTTGTGTGTCGTTGTCTGAGACCTGTTGTTGACTATCGATGGAAACCAATTTGTTGGGAAGCGTTGCAGTGGTTTCGATGAGTTGTAGTCTAACCCTCGAGTACTCCATTTGCAGCCTTTCGTGCTCTTCAGACAATTTGCGGAAATGTTTTAAATTATTTTTATCACAATTTCCGCAATTAATGCCAATTATTCCCGAATCGCGACTCGAGTTAGACATCGGAGAGGAGGGACTGTGCAAAGTGTGAGGAGTGGCCGGACTTCGCGGACCGCCATTCACTTCAAAGTGATCCCTCTGTTCAGCAGACACTCGCTTTCGGTACTTGTCTTCATACTTGTCGTCCAAACCATTGCTTTTATTGCTTTTTCCGAAACTATTTCTCACAAATTTCGGTATCAAAGCCTCCTTCAGACCAAATGACTGATTCTTCCACTTCTTGTTGGCGTTGAGTGAGAGCTCATGCGATGATTGCATCGATGCAGACATATCTGTCACGTGTCGACCGCTGGAAAGTCTGCTCTGGTATGTGTTCTTTGGCGACAAGTGATTGTCTTCAGTGGTGTTGCTTTGCATGAGGTGTCCACTCATGAGGTACTGATCTCTGCACCTCGAAGGCAACCGAAGACTTCGAGTTCGGGTCAAATTTGTGGTCCTCTTCATAATGGACTCATTGGACGTATGGTTTGTGTGGCTCTCAATGCCATCGGATCTGGTTTTGGCCGAAGAGCTGATTGTGGAGGCCGTGAGTCTTGAGGACGGATTCGGTGCACCAAATGGACGATTGATTGGCATTTTTGGTCACAATTATTGCTACAAATTTGATGAATGAATGAAGTGTTTGGTTAACAGTAATGA